GTTCCATCAACACCATCATCTCAACAATCTTCTCCGTCTCTTCCATCATCTCAACAATCAACAAATTCAGATGATTTGATTTTCGATTTCAGTCAAGCGAAGAAATATCAACCAATTACCAAAACTACTCCCTCATTCCAAAGAGACTGAAACAAATTTAATCGGAAGAACAAAATCTCGATTGTTACATCGAAGGAAAAATTTGTCGAAACATAATCGAGACAAAAATTTCAAACGGCAAAAGCAATATAAAAATGTCATTTTAGCCAAATCTATTCCTTCATTACCTTTGATGGTTCCTCCTGATCATTTCTCAAAACAAATTGCATCAGCTGTTAAGAAAATTTCTGACAACAACTTCAAAATTTGTGCAATTGACATCGAAAAACAAACCATTGTTATGAAAGATGGAACATTTAAAAATGCTCCCGTTTGGATTTCAATCATCGATCATTGCAACAATATTATTTACAATTCATTTATTCGCCATCCCTCATCATCAAATTGGGATATGCAAACTGCTTTTCATGGACTTGTTTATGAAGATGTTCGATTCGCTCCCTTGTTTCTAAAAGTTCGAGCTGAAGTTCTTACAATTCTAAGAAAATACGATAGAATTATTTTATCAGGTCACATTGCTGATCTCTCCGATCTCTTCTTAACTCCTCAAGATCATTATTATTTACTCCCTCGTATCGTCGATGTTTCTCTCTATTATAATTGTCGAGTTCGATCAAAAGCCGCTCTTGGAATCAAATACAGCGCTTTCATTTTATTTGGTAAAATTTTTCAAAATAATTATCACTCCCCGATAGTTGATGCCGCTTTTACCCTTTGGCTTTACTTAATTGATATGCCTCGAATTGAATCAACCTTCTTCAATTGTACAAAACAAAACCACGATTTACAAAACGGGTTATCGAGGATACAATTGGCCTCTCAACTATAATATGGGTGGATTACTTAAAGATGTTTTAAAACAAATTATTGATTGGCCTGATTCTTTAAAAACCAATCCCAAATTACCAAGAAAAGTTCAACAACAACAAAAACTCGAACAAAAATATTATCCAGAAGATTTTATTGATGGAGAAATCAATTCTAAACGGCCTTTGCCGTATAAGCATGAAAAGAGCCTGTTCTCAGCTTACGAACGTCATTAGAACCATTTAAGGCCATAACTGACGCTTTGTGCGGGGGCTCTGTAAGGGAAACGCTTCGATTGTCTCTTTCCCCTCTTAATTATTTTCTCTCTCCATCAACAATTAACTAATTATTACTTTTGTTTATCCCGCTCTAAATCTTTGTAACCAATCACATGTTTTCCCTACCTGGATAAATACCTTAAGCATTTCCTTTTCCTAATCAATCAGTTGTTGTACACCTTTACCTACAGTTAATCTCTCACCTTTTCTATTCTCAACTTCACCTTTAACCTCAAGTTAAAGCTTATTCTCTCTCTCTCCCAACTTCCGTTTCCTATGTTAAAATTCTCAACAAAGTGTTACTATTTCAATTAAACAATTTCCTTAATTAATTTATTGTTTACTGATTGTCAAGCTATTCAGCGAAAGGGCTATCAGGGTAAATTACTTTGAACCCTCTCACTGATTGTTAGGCTTTGCAGTACGATCATAATCGGTGCATTTTTGTAAGGGTGCCTGTACCTCATCCCCGTGAATTAATTAGACCTTACAAACTATTTTCACAATCTCATGTTATCATCAAGTTAATTCTTATGAAATTAATAATCAATAAACTAATTTGATATCAATCTCATGTTCAGAGGTGATGTTTTCATAACATGATGATTCTGATAGAAAAGTAATCATGAGAAAGCTGAACAATTCCCAATTCCAATTGAATGGTAGACATTGAATGTCAATGTTTGATTGTGAACAAAAAAAATATAATATATAAAAACGTGATGAGAATCAACAATCAACATAATCAATTGAATAACAATCAATTTAACCGAAATGCTTTTGATAAACATAAATGCGATTAAGATAAATACACAAAGTAATCTGATAAATTAATTCAAAGCCAGGAAGCAACAATTAAATGAGCCAATCATTCATATTAATATTATGGTGTCTCTTTAATCACCATTAAAGAATCAGGAAATTATAACTTGAATAGGATAATAATTATATATAAATTTAATTGTTTGACTTAATTTAATTCTGAATTGAGATTCTAAGTGAATCCTATCAAATATATTATTATTAGCTTTACAAATGAAATTGATTTGGTTTGTTTTTCTTGTTCAATCCTTTATTGTTATTGTTTACTGGATTGATTGTTGATTGTTATTAATTGTTATCATTTATGTTAAAGATAATGACGGTAATTAATATAACGATAATATTGTTAATGAAAAATGATGAAGGGTTTGCTTTTTGTACTCTCTCACTTCAGTTAACTATTCATTAGGCTGAATTGTTTTCATTCATTTACTTTCTGGTGTTACAAAGTGTGTATGTATATGTATTATATATATGTTTCAGCCTCTGGAGCTGAACTTTATCATGATAATATCAGATAACTTTACATGGTAACAAAGTAACAATCAACCGTTAAAAGATGATGATAAATTAGGTAAACTAATCTCGCCCACTCTTTATATATACACAATATCACTCATTATCATTATCATCATCATATTTATCATAATCATTATCATTAGTTTACAAAAGATTCATCATCATTTTATTCATGAGTTTCTGTTTAACTTTTCATGAGATTTCAGTTTTTCTTGTCTATTCATTATATGATTTCCACAGTCTCTACATTCATCTTGTCTTCATGTTAATTAGTGTGTTGATTTCTCTCTCTCTCGCTTTGATATTGTTTTTTTTGTTCGTGAGGGAAAAAAGTTCTGGTTAATGATTTGAATTAAAACTCTCAGCAGATTCATTTTCATTATTTTTGCATTTTCATGGTGATGAAAATTGTGTTGCTACTTCTTTAGGTCATTTATCTGGTCAATAAAAGTTGGTCATGAAAAAAAAGTTCTGGGTCAGGGTGAAAGACTCTGAACCTTTTTGATTATAAATCTATTCAGTCAATTGATTCTAATTATTGGATTGATGGAGGAACAAAATGAGATTTTGATTCACTAACCCTCAGAACTTTATCCCCTCTGAGCAAGAGTGAAAAAGTCCCTCATGCCTCCCACTGATTCTCATGGTCTTTCAGAACTTGAATCTTATTCTCATTATATTGATGTATTATTATTACTATTTTCTGAAAAGTTATTAGTATAATAATAATATGAACATTATTGATTGTCGACTGGTCACTTTGCTCTAATTAGAACAGAAAAAATTACATCCAGTTCTCTTCTAATTTAGATGAACTTTCTTTTCAAAAGTTCTTTCATGGGTAACATGAGAAACTCTGAATTTTACCTGAAATTTATATAATCACCGTTCCATCTGAATCAGATCTTTATTGTGATTTTGCTTTCTTATTAACACTCTTGCAACTCACAGATAATTGATGACGATACTTAAAGAAAGGCATGATAACCTTTTCCTGGAAATTTCAATTTCATGATAAAAAAAAATCTCAGACTTAACTTGACAATATCATGGATGATAATGAATAGTTTGAATGGAAATTAGTTTCTGACAATGACAATCAATTTATCTTCATCATCACTCTCTGATCATTTTATTAATTGAATGAAAGTGAAACTCAATCAACTGAAAAACTTATCATCATCATCATGAAAAACTTGCATCACCATGATTTCTGTATAATAATGGATTAGATTTAATATATAAAAAAGTAAGCAAGAAATAAAAAATGGAAACTGAATTTTAAGGGGGAAAAAGTTAATCATTAACTGAACAATTTGATTGTTAATATTAATCACTAGAAATTTCAATTACTATTAAATGGAAAGGAAAATTTTCAATTACCATGAATCATGAAACTTTTTCACTGCACCATCAGAGAGATTCAGGTTCATCGGTGTGAATCTATTCAGTGTTTTCAGAATGAAATATTAATCCTTCAATCTACCAACATGATTCAAATGAATCAAGTAATTCGATTATTTCTCATTTTTCAATCAGAAATTCAATCTATCCTGAAATAACAGAAGATCCATGATTTTATCCCCTTCCCCTTCTGAACTTTTAAAAATTTCTCAGAACTTAATATATAGTTTATATTATATCTTCTATCTCCCTAAAAAGAAAATAATGTAAAAACTTTCGGCCTTTTCTCTGTCTCTCTATCATGTTGATGAAGCTCTTTAATTCTGTCAAAAGTTCTGAAAGAGGAAAAAAAATAACGAATAACTTTTTTCGTCTCTTATTAAATTTCGTTAATAATTCACTGACTTAAGTAGTTTTCATGATAAAATTTTCTCTCTTTATTAATCTCAATTGAAATTTTGCTCTTGGCCAATCATCGAGTTTACTTTAGAAGAGGAAAAAAGTTCTGATCAAGATTAACCATTAGATAAATAATAGAAAATGATCCTAAGTATGAAAAATTATTTCATCGCCGATCCATTATCAGAATATAATCTTGTTTGATTAGTTCAATTATTCACGATAAATGGAAAGTTATCATGAAAGGGAAAATATTGAATCAGCCAATCGATTCTTGGAATTTTTTTTCCACCTCCATCAATTTCAACGAACTTGATGGTTTCACATGAAAGTTTGAGATAAAATTTCCCTCTACTTTGAGAATACTTGAAACTCTCATGAATGAACGAGGTGAACATTCAAAAGATAAGTGGTGATTATCTTCTGATTACTGTTGTTCGAGTGCATCGTAACTTATTAACCTGGTTAATTGTTACTATTTAAAGAAATCAATAAACTTTGGCAATAAATCATGAGATTATCACGAACATGTTTGATTAGAGTTGAACATTTATTATTTATCGATTAGACAACTTGCAATTTAATGAGCTTCGAATTGGGAAAACGAGATAATTTTTTTAATCGAAAAACTTTTCTCTCTTTATCTTTTAGGCTTCCGTTTTCTCAACGGCCTTAAAAACACTCATCACCGTATCAACCTTAATGCTATTGGGACTTATTGTTGCCTATCATGCACTAGAAGTGCAGGTAAGTTTTTGCCGCTGAATTTTGTTTGAATCTTGGAGAAAATGAATGAAAGTTTCGAATTGTAAAATTTTTTTTTCTATTACTTTTTTTCGTACAAAATTTTATTCATTCAAGTTATTCATGATCGACAATTGTGCCGATGATTGGAGAATAGCAATGACCTGGCAAAGAATAGGTAGTATAATGGTGGAAATATTAATTTGTGCCGTTCATCCAATTCCAGGGGAATATTTTTTCTCCTGGCGAACTAAACTTTCCAATCAAAATCGACAAGCGCTCACAGTTCAAGTTCCACTTGATGTTATCCTGTCTCTTCCCATGTTCCTCCGACTTTACCTAATATGTCGGGTTATGCTTCTCCATAGTAAACTATTTACCGATGCATCTTCAAGATCCATTGGTGCTCTTAATAGGATCAATTTCAATACTCGTTTCGTCCTTAAAACTTTAATGACAATTTGCCCTGGAACCGTCCTAATGGTATTCATGGTCTCACTTTGGATCATCGGAAGCTGGACAATGCGCCTTTGTGAAAGGTCAGCAACAAATTGATTAATCTTTACAGACATTAAACAGTTTCACCCATAAAAAACTAATCATCATCTTCATCATCTCAATGAAACTTTTTCCTCATCTCGCTAATCAATTAACTCAACATGAAGTTTCATTTTTTTCATATAACTAATCTGATCACTTAGCATGATAACTTTGTTTGTTTGTGAGCTATTGACCATCAGATAACAAGTGGTCACTATTATTAAGAAGCACTTGAAGATTGATTTTTTTTATCCTCATAAGTTATACTTAATCATGATAATATCTTTCAGATAGTTTCATTTACTCAGCTCATTATCCATTGATCAGAAAGATTTTTTCCTTGATGAAACGACTTGAACTCAGAATCAGATTCATTGATGGAAAATAATATAACTCAATAGTAATTAAATGAATCCACAATCAAAGATCAATCTCTAAATTGTGCCGAATCAATTCATAAATATCTCCATTCATCTATCGAGTTTAAGGTGTAAGAACTTTTTTTTACATCACTGACATGATAAGTTCTTGGCTCAGTCAGTGATGAATATGATAATTGATTAACTTCCCTCCAGAATAATGTTAATCATGTTATGAATTTCGATTATAAATAAGATTCCCATAGATGATTAAGCACAGTCATTGTTCAGTTCGTAAATATGATTCAATCTGGCATTTGATTCAATTGTTACCATTCATTGGGACATAAAGTTATTGTTAAGATTAATATGATCACCATGATGATGGTATTTGAACTAATATTGAACCGGCTTATCAACTGTTAGTTTGATTATCTACAGGAGGTTAAAGAGTTGGGTGAATTCATGGGAATATCATGGAAAAGTAAATATGATATGATTAGATAATAGATGAGGAAAAAAAAGAGGATGAAATAAAATTCCAATCCATTGAGAATGTGATTCTGATCCATGATTACAATGAATGAAGAAGAAAGAAAAAGTTCAGAATTCAGGTTAACCGTTGAAGAATAATAAAAAAAAGAGATAAAAAAAATTCATTAGAACTTTTTTATCTCTTTTTCCTCCTTTTCCAAATCATTTCATGTTTAACCAATTTACTTTTCTCCCCTGAAAACATTCATCTCACTCTGATAATAATAACATGTTTACATGATATTCACCATTGAAATCAATCTTATTCTGACCAAACCTTTGTAGTGAGCTCGAAATGATAATTTTCATGGTGAAGAAAAGGAGTATAAACCAAAGCTCTTGATCAGGATCATGGAGAAGATAAATTCCAAAAGGATGAAATGATTGAGAAAAGAAGAAGAAAAAAAATTCGAATCCATTTAAAGTTATCTTATCTTTTATCTTATTGGTAAATACAATCCAATTGACCATTGATAAAGTAACGGTTATTATCATGTTATTATTGTTACCAGAATGATGATCATGATACTCATCTGAATCAATGTAACAATTGAATTGAGATAATTTGTTTCCAAATGGTAATAAAATTGTTATTAACAGCCATTTGTCCAGCAAACAATTTAACTCTGATATTATACTTGACCATTGACTGGCCATTCCAATATTGACTTGGTAACTTTTTCCCATCATCTCACAATCATGTTGACCATCACTTTTGTCCAGTTAGCTTATTATATCAATGGAAACCTTATTATTACCATGATTATATGAATAACTAAATTGTTGATTAGAAAACCTATTAAACTAATTCAAATTGGTGGTATAGTTAATCTTAATTGTGCTTCTGTTGGTAATAAATTATAACAATAATAATGTTAATATGATACAACGTAAAGTTGATTGTTGTATTACAATTTACAATTATATCTTTGCAGCAATTTGTATTGTTGATTATAATACGTATCATTAGCATCATTACTGATCATAAATATGAATAAGATAAGGTGGATTTTTCAGTTAAGATTATGCTCAGGCTAAGAGGAGTCTATGAAATGTTAAGGTAACAAAAAATTCAGTTAAAAATCCTACAAAACGGAAAATTAGTCCGAACGAAATCTGAGCACCCATTCATGAGAAATTCAGATTCCAAATTTATACTGTACGCAAGCGCAGTTTGACTTTTTAAGAGCGCTAAATTCAAAAAGAAAGAGAAGAGAGAGAAAGAGAAAGAGAGAGAGAGAGAGAGAGAGAGAGAGAGAGAAGAGAGAGAGAAAGAGAAGAGAGAAGAGAGAAAGAGAAGAGAGAAGAGAGAAAGAGAAGAGAGAGAGAAAGAAGAGAGAGAGAGAGAGAGAAGAAAGAGAGAAAGAGAAGAGAGAGAGAAAGAGAAGAGAGAGAGAAAGAGAAGAGAGAGAGAGAGAGAGAGAGAGAGAGAAAGAGAGAGAGAGAGAGAGAGAGAGAGAGAGAAGAGAGAGAGAGAGAGAGAGAGAGAGAGAGAGAGAGAGAGAGAGAGAGAGAGAGAGAGAGAGAAAGAGACGAGAGAAAGAGAGAGAGAGAGAAGAGAGAGAGAGAAGAGAGAGAGAGAGAGAGAGAGAAAGAGAGAGAGAGAGAGAGAGAGAGAGAGAGAGAGAGAGAGAGAGAGAAGAGAGAGAGAGAAGAGAGAAAGAGAGAGAGAGAGAGAGAAAGAGATGAGAGAGAAAGAGATGAGAGAGAGAGAGAGAGAGAAAGAGAGAGAAAGAGAGAGAAAGAGAGAGAAAGAGAGAGAAAGAGATGAGAGAAAGAGAAGAGAGATAAAGAGATGAGAGAGAAAGAGAAGAGAGATAAAGAGATGAGAGAGAAAGAGAAGAGAGAGAGAGAGAGAGAGAGAGAGAAAGAGAGAGAGAGAGAGAAAGAGAGAGAAAGAGAAAGAGAAGAGAAAGAGATGAGAGAGAAAGAGAAAGAAAGAGAGAGAAAGAAATTTATTTTCGAATCCATTATTAAGAAATCATTTAAAAGAATGATTCTCATTTAATTATCCTAAATCCACGGGTCTCTCAAACAACCTTAACAAACTTTCGTAAGAAAGTTTGTTCCCGCTTGTTAAGTTGATTGTGATGAATGAATTGTAATGATAATCATTTGAATAACATTATTAATGTAGGCAAACAAAATACTTTGGGTTGATTGTTAACCAAATGATTGTGATTAAGATCAAATTGAATGATTATTGTTAATGGTTTTTTTTATTCTTGAAGATAGTTGATTAATCAACGACTAATTTAAATTAACTAACATAGAAATGATTAATCAACATAATTATGATATTACAATTGAAACTGTACATTGTATTGTCTCACAATTGAATCATTAGCAATTTAAACTGTTAATTGTTGGATAATTAATAGATTATTTAATCAACATGTTGGTTATATTCACTGATTATATTCATTCATTTTAATCATTTACTACTTCATGTTACTACAATTACTCCGATTAGTTCCCATGCGACATCAGTTGTAACATTTTTCCGATTCCCCATAGACTTAACATTGGGTACTGTCTCAAGTGGCTAACTTTTTCACAACAAACAATTTGCCGACAACAATACACACATATAATTGAAGCTCTTGTTAAATGTGATCGATTAATATACTGATCAAGTCGATCGGTAAATTGGTTCATATTAACCAAAACCTTCGGTTTTGTCTATTTTGACCAATTAAGGAACCATTGGTACCAACACACATTTTAACTAATTAATTAGTTTTGATCAACAAATGATATATCACCAGAAAGAGCTTAATTAAGCGAGTCTTAATATATAATAATAATTGTTGTAAGTTGTATGTGTACTGAGATATGAGCACAAACAATTGGTCAATTTTGGTAAATTGACCAACACCATTTTCTCATATTTTTCGTTTACCTTTGAACTTTGAGATTATTTTTTCTTTCCCATTTATTGGTCTTATTAACCCAATTGTACTCTTAAAATTTGGTCAACACATGACGGTCAGTAAGCTCCTTTCAGTCGCTTCAACTGACCAATGACTTTTAGTCTCATCTCTTTATTGCCCCAATCTCTCTGTCTTAATCATTATCTTCTTACTTTCTCTCTCTCACTCTTTACTCTCTCTTACTATCTACTTACCTTAGTAAGTTAATCATCCATTTACTTTACCAACGGACAATTAATTCAAATGGACCAATCCGGTCAAACTGACCAAACCTTAGACCTTTTCTTCTTGTATTTAAACGTAAACCTTGACAATAATCATTACACTTTGGTCACACTCTTTGTACCAGTAACTTATTGAAGTTTTTTACTTATTAATAAAAGTGTCGTGTATATTTAAATTGTGTATCCTCATTGTGTTAATGAGAAGAAGTAAATTTCTACTTATTGTTTAATTCAGTTGATTAAGGAAAATCAATTTAAACCAACAGGTTATGGGCTCAGTAGTTTCCGGGCAACTGCGTTAATCTTTGTGTGTGTGTTTGTGATGAATATTACCGGACAAATTTAAATTAATAAAATTTTCTTCATCAATTTTTCTTCATCAATTTTTCTTCATCAATTTTTCTTCATCAATTTTTCTTCATCAATTTTTCTTCATCAATTTTTCTTCATCAAATTTTCTTCATCAAATTTTCTTCATCAAATTTTCCTCATTAAAATTGTCTTCACCTTATTGTCTTCACCTTATTGTCTTCACAATATTATCTTCATCTTTTTCTGATCACCATGGATGTGAATGATTCGAGCTCAATTAAATTAAGTGCTGATAATTATCTTCACTGGAAGACTTATATTCAGGCCGTTTTGGAATCAAAGAGTGTATGGGAAATTACCAATGGCCAAGTTGTGTGTCCAGTTCCACTTGTAGGTGAAGATTCAACAGTCGCTGCGGTTAATAAACGTAATAAGGAGATTTCTGATTGGAAAACAAGTGATGCCACTGCTCGGATGCTAATCATCAATTCAATTAATAAAGACCATGTCAACATCATCATCAATTGCTCAACATCCGCTGAAATGTATACCAACATCATCAACCACCGAGAACAAAGGACAACAACCAATGAATGGAGGACTCGTCGTAAGTTGACCGACCTTAAATTTACCTCAT